TACATGGAATTTGCTACATTAAAGGAAACTGGAAAAATTAGAACTGTTTTTTTATTTTTATTTATTTATTTTTTTAAGAACATGTAAAACAGTATTTTACAGGTTAACCGACTTGGTGGAAATTGAGGGACCATATTTTTCCTTTTGATGTATCTTTTGTCATGCCAGTTTTCTGTTAAATAAATCAGGTATTTTCCAGTGGGATGGAGGTCTGTTCAGTAAAAATCTGACATTGTTCCTGGTCACAGTCAAAACTGGGCATTTGCCAACTGTGTGGTGTTGTTTCCTAACACACGCCCGGACCACAGCAGGCTTTAGTTGGTCTGTATTTCATAATACCAGCGAAATGTAGTTTCCTTTTACCCTGTGCATTCAGTGCAGGCCAACTGGCGCTGTGATCTCCAGTGGGAACACAAAGCCACTGAGCCAAACTATGAGAGAAATGTAAACTAAAGCACCGAATCAGGCTACGAATACAGTACCAGCCAGTGTCCATGACCAACAGTGATTATGTCAAAAATCCTGTCTGATTAGCAGAGATAAGCATGTCTTTAAATGACATGACAGATGATGGCAAGGAAATTATGAATTTAGATATGCTCAGGAAAAGCATTGTAAGAAAATGTGAATTAAAAATAATCAAATAGGACAAGGATTTTCAAAGTGTTTCATCAAAATAATTTGTTGTAAATAGTTAGAAGCAGAAAATATAAAAAAAGTAGAATGTCCTGAAATAAGTCAATTTATTTATTCTGTATGTTTTACTTTTTTTCCCCAGATTTATTCATATCATTTATTTCAATCACATTTTAATTTGACATCATACCAGAAAAAAACAATAGCAAAGGTAGAATGTCCTGAAATCAGTCATTTTATTTACCATTATATAAGATCTAAATAATTTAAAATATGTACTTTTTTAGATTGATCATTAACATTTCAGTCAAATTTAAAATCATTAATAAACAATTTTCGATTATTTAAGATCATGCAAGACATATTTTAATTTCTAGTTCAAAAAGATTTATTTTTTAAGATGTAGTATATGTAAACCTTATGTAGTGGTAATCATTTAGTATTTGCCATCCATTCAGCAACTATTTGTATTTTTTGCAAATATTCATTCATTTATTTTATTTTCTGCTTAGTCCCTTTATTAATCCTGGGTTGCTACAGCAAAATTAACCGCCAACTTATCCAGCACGTTTTTACGCAGCGGATGCCCTTCTAGCCGCAACCCATCTTTGGGAATCATCCACACACACACACACCCATTCATTATGGACAATTTAGCCTACCCAATTCACCTGTACCGCATGTCTTCGGACTATGGGGGAAACTGGAGCACCCGGAGGAAACCCACGCGAATGCAGGGAGAACATGCAAACTCCACAGGAACGCAAATTGACCTAGCCGAGGCTCGAACTGGCGACCTTCTAGCTGTGAGGCGACAGCACTACCTACTGTGCCACTGCGTCGCCCCTGTTATGGTATTTTATCTTATTAAGCAGGAAACAGTGAAAAATATAGCATAGCAATGCTAATATTTGTACTTTTTCAATTTACAATATTTACTAATGCAGTTTTAAAATCAAAAGCTTTACATTTTTATATAATTTTTAATTATCTTGACCTAAAGCAAACTAACAATGAACATTTGTATTTTTATTTATTAACGTTATCATACAAGGATGGCATGGTGGCTCAGTGGTTAGCACTGTTGCTCCAACATGCCTTACAGCAAGTAGGTTGCTAATTCGAGACCCAGCAGGGCCTGTTTGTGTTTTTGTGTGGAGTTTGCATGTTCTCCCTTTGTTTATGTGGGTTTTCTCCAGGTACTCCGGTTTCCCCCACAGTCCAAAAGCATATAAGTGAACTGGGTAAACAAAGTGGGTCATAGTGTTTGAGTGTGGGTGTGTGAATGCGAGTATATTGGTGTTTCCCAGTACTGGCTTGCAGCTGGAAGGGCATCGGCCGCGTAGAACAGAACAGTTGGCAGTTCATTCCTCTGTGATGACCCCTGATAATCAAAGACTAAGCTGAAGGAAAATGGATGAATTATTATACAAAGATTAATTCATACTGTAACCACAATGCTTAGTCCATTTTAGTTAATGCTGCAGTAAATGTCAAACTTTTTTTTAAATTGCTTTAGAATTAATGCTGTACAGTTACTACCCATTTTTAATATAGTAGATACAGTATAGCTCATTTTGTGTTATTTTAATACTTACAATAGTATTATTATTACACTACATATAATAATGGAAAACAATACTTTACCAAATATACATACCTCATGTGTGTTATAACAGGCTCATCCAAAACTGAAGAAGAAAAACAACAAAATTACATATATTACAACCTTACAGATATAGAAGTGCCATGAATGAACTTTAATGACAATTAAAATTTGTTTACCATTTGGTAAGTTTGCCCCTTTATATTATAGAAAGTCAAACCACTGTTTTAGGGCTTCATAAAGAAAAATAAACCAATGACAATAAACAAAAAGGGTTCAAATGAAAGCTATTAATATTTCTTATAACAATTTGAATAATCCAGCCTTCAATTTCAGTACATTTATGTTCAATGTTTAGTCACAGTTGAGGATTTCATGGAATTTTACAACTTCAAACAAGTAATTTAATGAGAATTTGGAGTGGGATGTATCGCTTTTTGTAAGGGCAGATCTACAACACATGTACGACTGTTCTATCCGCTGTCAGTGACTCACAGGAGATGAGAAATCCTCTCCAACACCTTCCTGGAATTCCTCAAGTGACACACATTATATGAGACATTCGACTATCGCAAGAATTAATGAAAGACAGATGCTTCGCTGAAAGCCTCACCACATTTTGTTTGTCATTCTCCCCCTCAGTTTGTGTTGATCTTGAGTTTAAATTATACACACGCCTAATAGCCCGATCGAAGAGTCATCATCATCATGTTTATTTTAATGAGCGATCAATGAAAAATGCAAATAACCAATGAAAGAAAAGCCATACAATTGCATTAATCCTTTAATCAAGTTTTTTAACAAAGTTGAAATTTGGAGAAGATAAAAATAGTGAAGTCTTTATAGGGCAAATGATGATTTTTTTATGAGCACATGCTTAAATATTCTCTAAAAGAGCAAGAGGTTATTAGTTTACATTTATATTTTTTGATTTACAGACGCTTTTATCCAAAATGTCTTGCATATAAGGACAAAACAATACACACATATGCACTTGTATACATAGTTTACAAGGACTCTCCATAGGCATAATGTATTTCATGTTTTGTAAAGACTGGTTATAATATATCTTATAGTATTTACTGACTTTACACTTAAAGTCAGAATTATTAGCCCCCCTTTGAATTGTTTTTCTTTTTAAATATTTCCTAAATCACGTTTAACCCAGCAAGGAATGTTTTATTGTGTCTGATTTTTTTTTTCTTCTAAAGAAAGTCTTATTTGCTTTATTTTGACTAGAATAAAAGCAGTTTTTTTTTTTTCATTTTTAATTTTAAGGTCACTGGCAGATTATTTTGCATGTTTTTGGAATAACTCACTTGATTTTGGTAAATTATTTCTTAAACCAGGATATTGTGTTTTGCTTTTCTAGAAAATGCTTCACAATTTAAGAATTCTTTAATATTTTAACTAGAAATAGGAGGAAAATTCTAAGAGAGAAGAATTTTTTTAGTGTATATACACATGCACACAGAAATTAAAAAAGTACAGGTGGTTCCTACAGGTGGTTTATTAAACCCACTCACCTGTGTGAAACACACTCAGAATTGTGCAGTGTTTTCCGAGAAACATGGACCGTTTGGAACAGGGGTCTCAAACTGCCCCCCCCCCCCGCAGGCAATTTACAGCCCACCCTCCTCATTCCTCCGGCCTGCAAAGGATGTCAAAAATATAGTGCAGTTCGGCCCGCCAAAACATATATTTTAGAACCACTATTGTTGTGCAGTTCCATCTAGCCCATAATCTAGTCTACATTTATAGTTCTGCATTCTGATTAGTTTTACTTTCATTTTCTCAGAGTATACGGTCGAAAGTAACACTCATGATTTAAATTTTTGTAGCTGATTTAAACATTAAAATATATGTCCATAAGTGCTCTATTTTTACTAAAGCTCTTTCTTTTTTTTGTAAATATTCAGGGGTTGTTTGATTAGCATCAGTTTTATACCACTTGTTTTTTGTTGTACAAACACTTCTTCATGGCTAACATGTTATGCCGGTGGTGTAACAAATATGATAATTTTGCTATTATTCCATTCAAATGGTCTCATTTAATAGATTTTTCTCATATTCTTATTAAGGTTTGCATAAAAACTTTGTACATTAGTGAAATTGTAATGCTAGTTGAATTGAACTTGTTAAAGTAAATGTGAATATGTGCATACTTTCCCCCTCTTTGCTGTAGTTTTACAGAAGAGAAAGATATTGAGAAGACCAATTGCCAGTAAACCCACTAAAGTTACCCAAACTGCTTTCTGCTGTTCTTGCACTATTGCACAATACAATTGATTGGGACAGAATAATAATAATTATGCCTATTATTTGTAGTATTTTCATAGTGATTTAAACTACCTCTTCAATATGCACATCAAGAAACAAAAAGCTAGTTTTTACTGCATATAGTTTGTGGAAGAATGACTGAGTGTGTTTATCGCTCGCTCGACCGTACACACACCCACAGATATATTTCAGCAGTTGTGTGGCTCGATAAACATGCTGATTTGCATCATCACTGATGACAGGTAATGCTTGAAATATAAACGTCATGTCTGTTATCTTAAGATACATCACTTATGTCAGGTTTCCACTTTTTTCTTGTGCTTGAAAGTTAAAACAGCCCTGCTATGAATTGTCAGTCACTGAAATGGCCCCCCACCAATTTGAGTCCCCTGGTTTAGAAGAAAGTGTCTGGTGCATATGGAAAGGAAAAGAGTGTCCTTTATTCATTAAGATGTTTTGTGTGTGTGTTTGATTTCAGGCATGATGGTGGTGATTGTTCTTCTTCTAATCGCCATCATTGTTGTGGCCTGTTGGCAGTAATGAAGAAGATGAAGATGCCACAGATATGAACTATAGAGACTTTCTGTCTGTATATAGTGGTGAGTGATGGATTCACGCAGTATCCGAACAGACTGGACATGTAATCACATCTCTGCACACAGCTCTCTTTTTTCTCGTACAGTAATGGAACACATAACTGGGTTAAAGCCAAGAAATGGACCACTATGAAGAACTGAATTCTTAGCTCCACAGATAACGATCAAAGTAGGATTCGGAATGGAAAGAAAAATAGAAAAGAGCTTTGAAAGGTTTTGAATATTATTATGAATAAAACCATGAGCCCAAGATGCTCCAAGGGGGGAAACTATTTAAATTCTTTGTTTGGCAGTGAAGAAAATGATCCGTATCCATCGTGTAAACAGGGACTGAGTCACAAAGCAATACCGAGTTTTGAGCTCTACTGTTGGGGTAAATAGAAAAGCTCTCATCCTCTTTTTTCCTAATCCATTCAACTGCATTAAGAGAGAGAGAAAAAAAAAACTTGTTTGGTAAAAAATAATGTTTTTAAAATATGTCCGTTATAAAATTCTAATAAATGTACTGGTATCAAACAGGTGGTTTGTTTTTTGTAAAATCTTAAAATTGTAATAACAATCATCTATTATTATTATTATTATTATTTATTATTATTATTTTTTTACAAATATTGGTCACATTTTATTTTGATGGTTTGTTTGTTGAATTTAAGTTACATTGTATCTACATGCCAACTAATTCTCATTAGATTATAAGTAGACTGTTAGGTTGGGGTTAAGCCTGGTTTATACTCTGCATCCGGTAGTTCGCTTGAGTGTGCATGGTGAATGTGATGTCATCACAGTGTTTGCGGAGTTTCGCTTTGGCTGTGCGTGGCATGATTTTGGCTGGTGGAGCATCTGATTTTTTTTGAGATTCGATCGAACATTTTGATTTGAGTTCAATAATGAATTATTTTCAATACATTTTGTTTGAGACAGGCACGACTATGCAGACATCTTTATTATCCATCCATGTGTGATCATAGGGATAACTAGATGGTCAGCAATTCTTGGCTAGAAATCGCAACAGCATTGGGAAAGGAGGAACGTTTTTGGAAAAAATTTGATAAACTTAAATGATAAGTTTGTTAAAGCCAAAACAGATTATTTACTTACGGAAATCTGCTTTTTCACCATTCATTTTGAATTTAAAATAATTTAATAGATACAAAATTATAATTAAGGAACAAATAATTTTTTAATTACTGAAAAAGAATATTTAAACCTATCAGTTAACAATATACTGATGCCCTGTTTTTCTAGGCTTTATTGGTGATTATGGTTCATTCTTTCTATAATAAAAAAATATATATATTTGTAGAGCAACCCATGTTCTGTTGTCATAAATATTTAAAAAAACTAAGTTTAAAAATCTTGAACGATATTATTGATATGACGTAGTTCGGAAACGTCCTTCTTCTATGCTAATCCGTCTGATATTATGGTCGGTTTTTTATTTGACTGAGCCCTGTCTTTTTAAAGAACATCACAACGGCGAACGCATCAAGTATAAAAGCCTCATCCGTTTCGTGAGGTGCACGATGCAGCCTCAGGCGGAAGTAAAAATCCAACTTTAGGGTTAGGAATAGTCTAAGTTACTTGCATGTTACTTTTTTATAGTCAGATAAATGTCTTTTGAACGAGCAGTATCAACGTATATCAAGCAGACAGTCCACTAATACTCGAATGGACCATCAAACTAGAGTGCTACCCAACCATTTTTTTCTAATAACACACCAAAATAAACAAACCCTCAAAAAATGAGTGTTCTTTTTTTTAAGTGTTCAAACTACTTATTTAAAATGAGTGGAAACAACACAAGGGCACAACTGTTTTATGTTCAATCCACTTAATTTTTTTAAAGGATTAACGTAACTTAATTTGTGTTAGAACGACATGAAGGAATTCTGTGGAACCCAGGATTTTTAACTGTGAACCTCGAATCTCTAACTAAATGCATATATCCTTACTTATACAGGGGAACAAATGAAGGTGCATTAATCATTTTTTGAGATTTTATTCCAAATGAATACTGAATGTAGTTCTACCAGGTTGGTGTTCAGTAGTTATCGTCCCGTCTGGATTTTAATCACAACCATCTAAACAACCACAAACTGCTGTAAAAAGAAAAGAAAAAAAAGAAAGAAAAATAAAAGACATAAAAAAACCCACAATGTCTTGTGTCATTAAATATTTTCTTATAATAACCATAATATATTAGTATGCATTGTAAAACAATATTGCAGACGTCTTGTATTTGCAACAGCTAAATTTACAATTCATAATATGAACAAGAAGCATGTAAGGTCTGCTGGTAATGTCAAATACAGGAGCCATCTTTCCACTGCTGCCAAGAAAAACAAAACAACATAAATTTACATCATCGGAATACTAATAAAATGAGTGTGCACTAAGATACTGAGTGCCAAACAAAATACATTTACATGTGGTATTAGGAATATGGTTTGTAACCGGTAAATACAGCACGTGTATAAATATCTGTATGCCATACATAATGTGTACATTTACAAGTAATCATTGAGCAAAGAGGATCATCACTGCACACGTAAACCGTCCATCAAAACCATCCTTTTTTTTTCTCTTTTCTTTTGGTATTTGATGCCTGAAATAATCAGTTCTTGCAGCTAAACATCAAATGACCCCTCAAAATCAACATAAAAGCTGTACTTTAGAGAACTTTAGTCTCATGGGTAACAGAAATGGACTTGCGCTTGTGTGAATATGAGCAGCGTTTCTCACAGTTCTCTATTGAAGGCAAAGATTACTGTACATGCATTCCTACATTCACAGACCCTAAATGGACATGGACACTTTCAAGGAGAGATGCTGTTGCTTTACAAAACTAAATGCTAGTTAAGAATTACTAGTTAATACTTCTAAATACTGTTTTACACACAAGGAAAAAAACTCACTATACACAGCATTCTAGCAACACTTTCAGGACTTGAGAAAAGGCCTGTTTATATGTTGAACTCATCAAACTGAAGTTCTGTTTTAACTAAAGGACGTCATCATCCATGTCTGGATTATAAACAATCGAATCGGAGCATCAAATGGAGCAAGAAAAGATGTTTGTGTTTAGAGTCGTCCACCTCAATCATTGTGTCTTATACAAAAATATACATGGTGGTTTTTGTTCTAAGTTGAAAGAAATGTCAATTTGAATGCATGCCAATCATTTTAAGGTTGGTACAAGCATGCTTTTGCATTTGTTAGCCTAAATCAACACATAGTGTTTTTTTTTTTATATATATAGAAATATGTAATAGATTTACACACAAGGCTGACACAGAAGTTAATGCTTAAAATGGAGCCTATATTGTTGTGTCTAATGTGACTGTTTGTGACAACAGATGCTGATTTTTTCAAAGCTTTTTTTGTTTTGTTTTTTGTCAGCAGTTGTTTGTTGACTAATCAAGGCAATCTGAGTTTTTAAAAGTTTATGTTGTTGTTCTGAGTTTGCTATGGTTTTTTGGGAGTCTGCAGCATTCTGGGTTAACCCAGCAGCATCAGTTTTCAAAGATTAGGTAACAAGGTAACACTTTATAATAACTACACACTATGAGTCATTTATTAAGCATTGGCATCTTGTTAATTCATTACTTGGTGAGCACTAACTCTACATTAATAGACGTTAGTAAGCAGTTTATAACTTTACAAGTTTATAGTATAAGTTTATAACAGCTACAGCTATAAGTTTATAACAGCTACAAATGCTCTATTCTTGACTTAAGCAGATTTCCAATGTGCTTAAAAATTATGTTTTCATGATTTGTGACTGATTGATCCTTCTACTAAATGAAGTATCACATTATTTACAACCCATTTCTAATTAAGAGTAGTTGATGTTTTTTTAGGATCATTCAGAATGAGTTAGTAAATTATTAATAAACTATTAAAATATAGGTTTATCTTATTATTCAGGCATATAGTAATGGTTACTATGTATGTTAATAAATGTTAACTTCATGCAGTTTTGCGACCCAATCTAAAGTGAGGACTATTTTTGCTTTATAAATCCCTTATAAATGACAATTAAAGACTCCGTAACAAATGAAAAATACATTTTTGCGATCCTATCTAAAAAAAGTAAAATTACTGTAAAGTTTAAACATTGCTGAATAACAAGTATCAAAATACAACATATTTAGATTAAATAACAGCAATAACAATATAATAATTTAACAATATACTTGTGATGCAACATTTCAATGTTATTTAGCGATGTTTAAACTGTACAGTAATGTTACTTTAGATAAGGTTGCATTTATTTATTTTTCATTTGATACAGTTTCATTAGTGTATCTTTAAATGGATAGAAATGACAACAGTCGTTTATTTTCAGTTTTTAGTTTAGAATAAAGCTGAGCCTTTATTTGTCATTTGTAAGGGATTTATAAAGCATACATAGTCCTCACTTTAGATTAGGTCACAAACCTGGATGAAACTAAGTTAACAAAGTGGTTAATAACATACAAATTAGCTATTAATATATGCCTGAATAATAAGATATATAAATGTTAAATTAAATAGTTTATTAATCATTTACTTATGCATTCTGAATGATCTTAAAAAACAAACAAACATCCAACTATGCTTAAATAACTAGTTTGTAAATAATGCATTATTTAATTTACTAATGAAAAATGAATTCTTAACAAAGTATGGAGACTCAATTATTAAGCACATTATGCATGTGGTTATAAGTCAAGAATAGAGCATTTGTAGCTGCAGTTATAAACTGCTTACTAACGCTTATTAATGTAAAGTTAATGCTTAGCAGATAATGAATTCACTATTTGCTAATGCTTAATAAATGGTTCATAGTGTGTATTTATTATAAAGTGTTCCCGAACCTTTCCGTTTTGTCTTTTTTTCTTTTCATTCTGTTTGCATCTGAATTCTATGATAAGCCACACAACCTCATGGAAATTGCAACAGCTGCTGGATGAATTCATTATAAAACATAATATGCTCAAATATAGGCATAGAATTGTGTTTTTCATGCAGTGTTACAAAGTGTTTTTATTTTTTCAAACCTCGACCAAAAACTTTGCTTAATTTGTTTTGATATCAGCCATATTAACAATTTGTATCTGAAACAGAATTCAGGAACATCTCAGATGCCATTACGCAATCAGTTACAGCATATGAATTTTTGAAACGCTAAAGCTTACTAACGAAAGTGTTTTGTAATAAAAAAGACATGCTTAAGGACATTTTAAGGACATTTTTTTTTCTTTCTTCAGATTTTTGAGATATTAATCCTCAATAGAGTGCTGCAGCTGTGATATTAAATCCCGAAAGACCACTGTTTCACCACTGTTTTCCACAAGACTTTCATATGCGTTTTTTCTAATTCAAAAATAAAAACCTGAGTAGAATTGGTTAGGGTGACATGGTGATACTATGATACTTTGTTTCACTACATCAATTAAACTGCATTCACTGCAGGTGCTGGTGCATAAATTTGAATTATTGCTCACAATTCAGAGTATTTTTACTTATTTGCTTATTTGGCTGTTCACATCATTTTTTTTCAAATTGTGCCAAACTCAGGTTCCCATGTTAATGAATACATCAAAAAGGACTGCAAGCAGAACAATGCCAAATAGAAGTACACAGTAAAATCAGCATTAATAAGCTTGTTTATAAGGTGAAATCAGCAAATGTGTAGACAATGATGATGACAATAAGGATAAAAGATACGTTTTTAATTATTTACACTATTTTTATAGTGTATTTATCTCACTTGACAGCTTTTGCAACTGTCTGTTGTGTACACCAGTGCCCAGAGAGTTTACAGATGTCTAATAAAAAAATTAAAATAATTAAAAAAAAAACTTTGGAGTAATTCCAGTTCCGAATATTGACATGTGTCAGAAAACTGACCTGTATCGGATTTATGACCGCAAGCAGTATAGAAGTGTTTCAAATCAAATTGTAAAATTATCATATTCAATGTGGTTTGTGCTGTTAACCTTATTTAAAAATATATTTTTAAAAAGTATAACGTAAAATAAAGGTCTATGTAGTCTGAAAGTAGCCTTACACACACTTTACATACTAAAACCATACATTTTGAAGCAGTTGAAAATGTAGAGTGTGTGCAGTTTTGTCCAAGTATTATTGCATAATATTTTTGCCACACACCTTATTTTACTCATAAATTGATTGGAAAATGTCAAAGGAATCAACATCAAATAAGTATTCAGGATTTTTTTTGCAATCACTGCTGCAGCATTCTATCCTTTTTCTTTCTGAAATGAATGAAATATGGCTTAATCTGATTCTCAACCAGACTAACACCGTTCAAAATGTATCTGAAACGTGACGCCATTTAACACAAAATACCTTTCTTTATATTGGACACAGGTGCAAAATTGGCAAACAGCAAACAAATCTTGAAAGAAACCAAAAAGAAATGAAAAACTGCATCATGAACTCCTTCACACGTTCCCATTTAAAAACAAACCAAAAAAAAAAAGTTAATATTCTCTTCATGCCTTTATTCAAAGCAGCGATGCTCAGTCTATCTTTCTTATCTTTATCTGTTGTTTTTTCTGTCCAGCTCTGAATGGTCAGCTCTTTCCTCTTCTCTTCATTATGCTTTCTTGCATTTTCCTTTCTTCTCCCTTTGCTGAAACTTCCGGAGTCTCCGAGCCCAAGTGTCTCTCCACTGAATGACCAGACTGCCCTTGTCCGCCACCATTCCGCTTTGTCCTGGCGAATCCTCGTCGTTCCCCAGCAGAAGGTATTTCTTGCCGGACTTGATCTTCGGACACTTGCAGGCCACATCCTTTGCCCTGACCCAGAGGAACTGGTCTCCTCTGCGAATTCGGCTTTCACCCTGTTTGTAAACAGAGATGATGTTGACGGTGAACTTCCACCACTCTCCTGCTTTATCTGCTTTCAGGATGTGGACTTGAACGGCTGCAGAAGAACAGAAGAAAAAGATGATCATTTTTCATGTATGAAGATGGCTGAGGTTTGATGTCAAGCAGATACATGTGTGATTCATTTTAGACCGTTGAAAGAAGCACAATTTTGTACATTTTGGATTGAATTTTTCTATTTAAATAGCTTTTTTGGGATGCACACTATTATTTTATTACATTTCTAAAATAAAAATAAAAAAATAATAATAATAAAGACATAAAAATCAACTGTGTTTGATTTTTGGTCTGTTTTTTGAGAAATCTCAATTAATTATGTACAGTTGAGGACAAAATTATTTACCCTCCTGTGAAATACTTTTTCTTTTTTTTTTTCTTTTTTTTTTAGGAATTTTTTTCTGAGTGATATTTAATGGAGCAACGGCATTTTCACAGTATTTCCGATAATATATTGAAAGTCTTATTTATTTTATTTTTGCTGGAATAAGAGCAGTTGTGTAATTTTCAAATCGATTTTAAGGTCAATATCATTAGCTCCCTACACCAATATATATATTTATACTGTCTACAGAACAAACCACTGTTATAAAATGACTTGCCTAATTCCCACAACTTGCCTAATTAGAAAAGTTAAGCTTGTAAAGCCTTTCGTTTGCTCTTGAATACTAGTTTCTTGAAAAAAAAATCCATGTCATCATGGCACAGATCAAATAAATCTGTAATTTGAAAGTAGTTTTTTTTAAACTTATATTTAGAAACTAAAAAAAAAAAAAAAAACTTTTCTTCCTTAAACAGAATTTGCTGAAGACATATAAAATAATTAAAATATAGGAGGGATAATAACGCTGAATTCATTTGTAGTTTACATTTACAAATAGATAAATCATGTTATATCTTTCAGATGTAAATGTTATTTACAATTCCTTATTTGAGTTGTGACCTCAGATTTTGGCATGTTAACCTTAAATCTTATAAGAAACATAAAGAAAAAAAAAAGCAGTGGGGTTTCTCTGTATAGTTATATAAAATTGTTCAAAAAAGATACCAAAAAAATCTGTTTTTCTCTAAAATGTGTTAAATGCAATATTTTGTACTTCAAAAAAAAAAAAGGCGAAATATTGAGGAAGAGCATTGCGTATGGGCCAAAGACAAAAATCTACCAAAACCATGCCCTTAAATATAGAATAACAGTTTATACATATTTCTCAGGCATATTTTGAAGAAATAATTTGTTAATATATTGAAAAGATGTGCAGACCCAAATGTTGAATTAATTGTTATTTAAAAATGTGTATACTGTGATGTTATTAATCTAAACACTTTTTTTAAACTATTTAGTTTAATAACTAGATAGAGACCTAAATAGTTCTTACTTCTTTACATACAGAAATATGAATCAAAGTGGAACATATATTATTTCATTTAGTCTATTTTTTTACTGTACTTGTGTAAATGTTTATAAATGTACATTAATTCAGTTTTTTAAATAATTTCAGTAACATTGTTGACTAAAATGAAAATGTTCAAATGATTTATTTTCAATACAGTTTGTAAAGTAATATTTTCTGTCTTTTAGTATATATAAATGATATGTGAGATTCGGTTTGATAACCAAATAAGTGGATCTAATTGGATTTGCATTGGGAACATTAAGTAAAAGTTAAAGAAGTATTATTTTTGATTTCATATATTACGTTTTAAGTTATGGTACTCCCAAAATCATTCCGCATAAACATAAGATTTTTACAAAATTTTCTGCAGAAAAAGCAAAAAATGTCCAAAGATTCTTTCTAGCCCTCAAAGGGAAAACAAATATTCTAAAGTGGGCTAATAATCTGTTATATCTGTTAAACAACTTGGAAGAATGTTAATATTTTTACCTTCAAATGTATATTTTGAATTGTACAAACATACTGATATGGAATGATTGCAAGTTCCCATGTGCCTATTTACAAGTGAAATGGTGAAATAATATATTTTCAACAAATAATTATTCCTTTGTATCATCTTAGTTGCTGCAGTTTAAAGTGCTTTAAAATAATTGTTGAAACTTCAACCCCTCCACAGTTTGAGAATGCCCACAAGTGTGAATCCTCAAAATCTGCTCAAACTGACTCAAGCTGTTCCCCTTTCATTATTAATAGCCTTCAAGGTGCTTTGTAAGGTGACTGACAGCAAAAGGACCGACAAACAGGCAGATTTAATTTCTTCTGTGAAACATTTTACACTTGTCTGAGATTGAGGCCATCTATCCTACACACTAACATTCAGGTCTGTGTTTCTGTTCACTTACACTCTTCAAATGCATGCCACTGGACCCAAAATGTTTTTTTGGGGTCTGTTTTTTATGCATTTGATACATTTATTAATCACAGCATTGTGCATTTATGCTTAAAGAAAAAAAGGAAATAAAAATATGAATTATTAACTGCATGTTATCACTAATTAGTTGCGCCTCATGATATCTGTGCACGCAGAAATTTGCAGACTTTTAGTCCATTGTTGAGTCTATTTATTTACTTGTGTAATTGTGTCTTAATTTATATTTATTCAGTTTTTAATTTAATTTCAGTAATATTATTGACTAATATGAAAATGTTTATACGATTTATTTACAATACAGTTTGGAAAGTAATATTTTCTCTCTTTTAGTAGATAAATGAGACACTTGCTTTATTCACAAAATAAGTGGATGTAATTGGATTTGCATTGTAAACATTAAATAAAAGTTTAAAAGATTTTTTTTTACTATTTAATAAATATAGTTTTTAGTTATGATACTTCCAAAATTATTCTGCATAAATCCGCAGATTTTTTTTTACAAAATTATCAGCAGAAATAGCAAAAGATGTCAGCAGATTCTGTCTGGCCCTACTAATTAGTTTTTAAAAGTATTGTTTAAAAATGTGATACAATTTTTTTCAAAGAATTAACATTTAAAATAAGGGTCTAATAATTTTGCTTTCAACTGTAAATAAAGTGATTAACTGAATTAAATTAGAATGAAATGTTTTAGAGATTCCACATTTTCTGATAGCTTCGTGTGAATACCACTGAAAGTGAAGTGAAAATTTATATCCAATCTAGCTCTCCTTGAGAAATAACTAATGATGTGTTATTTAGAGCCGCTATTTTTTAATCCAAATAGAATGTCTAAATGATTTGACGTCGGATCAGTTCTAGAATTCCATTAATTTGAATTTCAACTCATTGTGGTATTAGAATGGTCTTTGAATTTCAAATAATCTATTGTAATACTTCCATAGTTATTCATTTCATCCTTTTAGTTTATCTGCCAGACTTGATTGTTCATACAGTATGTCCCATTGTAGGATACATTTGTATCATTTTTGGGGTAGCAAGGTATTCCTTTTAATTTAATTTAAATACATTTTTTATTTAATTTAACTTGATTTATTTCAGAACTATTTCAAATACACTGACATATCATCACAATCATCATAATAAAAAGTGAGTGCTTGATGACAAAAAAAAGTTTTAACTTGAGGACAAACTATCACTGTCACCATTTCAAAAGGTGGAAGTCATTTCTCCAGCAGCTGCGGCGTGTGGAGGCTCAGCTGCGGCCAGGATTCCTGTGGTGTTTTATGGGGAGTGTGCCAGTGAGGCATGAGGCTGTAAATATCATGCCACGAAGGGCCAGATTCCCCCCATAAGTCTTTTAGATGACTCCATCTTCAAGTTCAATACCATTTCCAGCCATTTCCCCCCATGCTGTTGTAGCATAAAGCCCCCCTGATGCTCCAGAAGGCAGAGGGAAAGTGGATTAGGTTTAATGCTCAGAATGTGGGACTTTATCCTGGATTGTTCACTTTGGAGTAAAGAGGGATCTGGCCGGCTCTCCATAACTGAGGACAACTGTAAACTGAAGTCAGCGGGGGAGCAAATTATCTGGATAAATTCTTAAATGAGTCTTAAATGAGTAATGGCAGGGCAAAGGAGAACATGCAAAGGCGGTCTGCAGGAGGTAAAGGCATTGAGTATTCATCACCTGACATCCAACTGCCAGTGTGCGCCAGACCTCCTCTCTACGCTGCGGGATTCCCTGCGCTTTTCACACTCGCCTTATTGTTTATCACAAATCATGTATTTGGGTTGAAACGCATATGCTTTTACCAGTTATTGTTACAATTACACAGCAAGGACATTATGCAGGGTATCCGCGGAGCCTTACAATGTCTTAAATCTCAAAAACTAAATTTTAGGCCTCAAAAAGTCTTAATTTTATTAAAATATTGCTGTAGGTAATAAATCTTTTTTAAACAGGTATTAATTTTCATTTGTTCATGTATAGCTACCAAATCTAGCTATGAACACCCTCCAATAAATAAATAATAAGACTTTTAACTGTTTTATTTAAGAATGTACATTTTAACTCTACCACATTCTAACTTTACCATAATGGTTTAATTATTTTCCTTATAATGACATTTGTTTAAAAGTTTTCCATGTATTTATTGCTGAGGAAGCTGATCAACAGTCCGGTTGTGCATACATTTAGTTTATTACAGTTTTTAAAACCGTTAAACATTCTTTTTTTTTTGGGTTGTGTTGAAAATAAAGTACTAGAGCTAGAACTAGAGCTTGCTTGTTTTGACAATATTTAAATATTTTGCTCAGAATTAACTAAAATATTTAGTTTTTTATTTATTAATTGTTGTATTATTAAATGTATTAAATTATAAAAAAGGTTTGATAGGGCACATAAAAACCTTTTCAAAACTGGGCCATTCGAAAAAAACTCATTAGCGAGTATGAGTCTAGAATTTCATTCATAATGGTCTAAAAATTATAAATACAGGCACTTTTGCATGCTTTGCTATGCCAGTAATAATTAAATTATATATTTTATACATACAGTATGTGGGTCAAAAACGTTTTTTTTTTTTTTTTTTTGTCAAGATGAAATTCTTTCACATTTTTTTTATATCAACAAGTTATATTATGACCATTTGCACTATTCCACTAAATGTATTTAGATATTTTGAGGTGCATAAGGTAAAAACTGTATGGGAAATATGTTTACTAAAGTGGGAAAAAAGCATTACTCAAATAAAACAATTATAAAGAAAAAATGTATTGCATTAATTTAATGAACTCAACTTTTTAATCATTGAAATAATTAATTAATCAAAAAATAGAATGATTACAGTGCTATTTTTTAAAGCAATGTGGTGCAACCAGTATGCAAAAGCATACATAAAAAAAAAAATATATATATATATATATATATTTTTTCCACCATTTCTCAGAGAATATAGGCAATGTTTCTTGGTGCATTTAAACAAAACAGATTTATTATAAAAAAAATATTATAATATAAAATAAAATTTTAGTCACCAAACATATTTAGATATTGAAAGCTAATACATTTAAATTCAATCAAAATACTGAAAATAATTATTCGGCCTACAAAATTTCCACTAAATTTGTCAATGTTTTGCTTCTCTTGATTTTTCCTCTTTATTTAAATTTGTATTTAATATATATTTTTTTATAACAAATCAATGTGGGCGTACTAGATTTTGGACTGTTAGTTATTTTGTTAGGCCAGATTTGGCTTCAGTACTGACTAATCTAATGTATATGCACAAATATAATATTGTATAGCTTCCTATTAGAAATATGAATTTAAAAGATTCGTGAAATGTGTACTTATATATGCTGAGCACTGTATATTATGGCCATTTGTAACATTCTTTTGAATGTATTGGGAAAAAAAGTATTACTTGAATGAAACAATCAACTTTTCATTCATTGAAATAATTAATTAATTAATTAAAAAATAAAACTACTACAATGCTTATTTCTTTTTAAAAAGAAACCATTATGCTACCAGTAAGCAAAAGCATAAATAGAAATATATTAAACATAAAAAAACATTATTCTGTATTAATACTGTACCTTATTTTTACCATCTTTTTCCATTTTTCCTCCCCGTTTTGTCTTTAGAATGTGGAATGAAAATATTAACATGTGTAAATAATTACCTAATTACCCTAACCTGCCTAGTTAACATAATTAACCTAGTTAAGCTTTTAAATGTCACTTTAACCTGTGTCTTGAAAAATATCTAGTCAAGTATTATATACTATCATCATGGCAATACTTCTTAATATTTCTTAGGATTTTAACCCTTTTATTTGACATATGCCCTGTAAGAAAATTGTACTCCAAAAGTATTTTAAAGTATTACATGCAGGCAACATATCTTTCAATAAATGTTTAATACTATTAGTATTACACCTACATCTATTTCATTATGACTTAAATTATTCTCCACCAATAATTTACCTATGCTGACTGAAACAAATCAAGAAAGCTGTTAAAATGCTTTGGCTGTTATTAAATCTGCTAAGGTCTTTAAGTTCCAAGGGGTCTCGCTTGACTGATGAAACAACCCCACCTCTGTAGAAGAGGGGTTGCACATCTGCTCCCTTTCATGGACGAGAAAGAGCCTGCTGCCCCCAGGAATGCAGGACAGGGACATGCGCTTCCCTTAATGAGGATATCTGTGAGCTCTGGTCCCTTCTGCCCGTCACACTGCCATGGCTTGATCCGCTTTGGGCTCAAATACCTGCTGGGCTGTCCGTCATCGCAGTCTTCTCTAAAGCCCTCGCTGATAGCCTTTCCTCCTGTTTGATCCTTTGACTTTCTTCTTGAAAGCCCTAAGTAAGCCATCACTACAATATAGCAACACTGACGGGGCTCAAGGGAATTCGGCTTTGGATAAAGAATAAAGATGTTGTAGAGGGCAAGGATTTGAGCCACCTGCATAAATGCAGAAGAGCTGTGGTTGGACTTTTTCCACTCACCATAATCTTTCTTGCAGTACTTCTTCATATTGATCTTCAGCTTGCCTTTGGATGCCTTGCAGTAGGATTCACAGTCTACAAATGGGGGAAAGGGGGTGGAGGGGGAGGACAAAAAAAACACAATTAAAGAATGTAAAAGAGGGAACATTGTCAAAAAAGAGACACTTCTGCAAACTACACATCTATCCTAAAGCCCTGGCCTGTTGTGACATCCATCTGCCCAGTTTAATTGTGAGGCCGTAATAGGGCTTGTGAGGCATTCAGTAAAGTGTTTTTTGCTCCTTAGAAAAGCAGGAGACAAAAGGTCCCTCTCGTTCTGCTCTCTGGATGTCTGGACCCTCCCCTGCTCTGATGGGAGCCCTCTGAGGCCAGGCGTATTGTGCCACCCAGCAATCTTTTTTTTTTCAAACCCATGCTAATTTCTCACCCTTGTCTCCACTGTCAGTGCCATGATGTGCCTGATTAGGGGACTTTTCCCTCCCAGTGCTGTCAACTCACCCCTATGTCTGTCCTAATGCCACCCTCCCCCCACCGTAACCTCAGAACACCATTTCAACCTTTGGCATTTATTGGTCCGGCACTCAGGGAGGTGCCAGTGAAAGGGGTGCAAGGGTTGTCCCAACACAAAGGGAGGTCAGGGGGGAAATTAGCAGCGCATAAAATGTTTAAAAAGCATCTTGTGTTTAAAAATGAAGACGACATGTCAGGCAAGTTTTTTTAGACAGTTCTGGATATCTACTACATTTTGAGTTTTTTAGCACGTCTAAATATAATATGCGTACCTTCTGTTGCTTTACAAAGTCTCGAGCTCAATTAATTTATTAAAAACACCTCTCTTTTGAGCATGCAGATGTTTAAATCGAGAAGATTTCTTTCTCCATTCTCATTACGCCCCACACATTGTCATGGCCTTCTTTTAGTGGATGGATGGAATGAGAAGACGGAGGAGGGGGAGCGACGAACCTTTCAGCTCGCCTGCATATGAACAAACTTCATTGTTTCGGCCGACCCTCGCTCCATGCCTGCCTTTTACTTTCCTTTGGACTCTATTCTCTCGGTGTGAATGAGGTTGCCTGGGCAACGAAGGAATCAGAAAAAAATGCCAGTGAAAGTAGTTGTGCTGAAGTGGTTGCGCGAGGGACACCGATGTGGGGTTGGGCAAGTCAAACCGTGTACATTGTAGATTGGAAATGGCAGAGAAACTGTAACCAAAATGAAATTGAGAGTCCCTACTCTGGCAGCTTCATTTCCATTTAAATGAAGACTGTAGAGCAAATGCTTTGTTTTCCCGTAACCCTGTTTAATGCCATAACGATACTTCCCTCTGATAGCCATCATTTCTCATTAGCTCTCCTTTAAGGAGGTGATGAGCACCCTGAGATACTTATTTAAACATCTAGTCCCCCGCAGTAGGACAAATGTACCCATTGTGCCCCCTCTTGAGTTAGGGGAAGTAGGGTTAGCTTGCCGTCTTGTCACGATGCTCCCACAGAGGCCAGTGTCACCTAAATGGGTGTTTTTCCTGCTGTCCTTTCAAGTGAAAACTGTGTGCTAGACATTTTGGCACTGTGTCCAGTAACGCTGCTACCGGTGCCAACGAATAAAGGAAAGCTGCGTGTAGGTTTAAATGTGAAGCTTGTTTGACACTGAAGAATGAGTAGAGGGCACCAGTTACACGCTGACTGTGGGGGGACCCCTGCTGGGAAACATTTGTGGACAAATTCTCTTCGTTGCTAGATGTCGAGGGAAGTTGTTGGTCTGGAGATTCAGCAAAGGACAACTAATGAGTCTGTGCTATTCAGCCTCACTCAGCACTTCTGAAAAGCCTTGACATCTAACACTGACAATCTAACCTGCTGGGTCTTTTAGTGCTTGAAGACGGGTAGACACTGTACTCTGTTGTTTGCAAAGAAAGCCTAAAGCTGACCTGAGGTCTGTTTCCAGTTAGACTTCCAATGAAAGAGACAATGCTATTCATGCAGGCATCACAGATCTGGGAACTGTAACAATGAGGTGTGAATGAGCGCACAGAGGGAAGGCTTTCTCTGTGTGGAATGAGACTGATTGAGAAACAAATTGCTGCAAATAAAGCATGTAATTAGATTATAGCCAGAGCCCCAAGCTCCCACTGGGGCAGAGACTCAATGGACAAGCTGGGTCTATTCCAAAGGGAACTGCTTTTTTTTTCCTCCTTCTACCCTCAACCTCTCAAAATATCCCTCTCGTTTTATTCCATTCAACACTCTGAGAGGAAAATAGCTGTCTCCCGAAATCTGACAATGGTTTAAAGAAACAGAGCAGACAGCGCGTGCAGTTTTGATTCAAGGTTTGTTTTAGTCACGGTGGCATCGCTCTAATGAGGAGCGAATGGGGAGAAATCAACTTCATTACTGTAAATGAAGCCAAGAGATGTGTGGGGAGCGTTGCCAACCCTCGAAATTGGACAATGTGAAATCAGAGAGAGAAGAGGCCAGCTTTAAATTAGCCGAGAGCTTTGCATTCATGATGAGACACTTAATTCAGCACTATTCACTCTCTTTCTGTCTCTAATTCTGGCTTTCTCTCTCTCTATCTCTCACTCCCCTTTTTTGTTCATTCCTTTTATAATCACTAGAAGCCTTGCTGAATTATTTGGGACCATTTGGACTTACAAGGGTGACAGTGTTAAAGGGAAAGTTCACCCCAAAATGAATATTTTGTCTTTATTCACTCACCCTCATGTTTTCCTCACAAACTTTGTATGTGCTTTTCTGTCTTTCCTGTTTGGACAAATATATGATTGGGGTCTATTTGGTTCAAGTATGCTTAAGTGCCTTTTTTAAGATTAAGTGCATTTGAGTTTTTAGCAATAGGCTCGAGGTTAGCACGCCGATATAGTACTACCATACTAGTGGCGACCCATATTTAATTCTCAGACCAAGGTCCTGTCAAACTAAAGGTATAAAAGCCCCTTAAAAGTTAAAAGAACAGCACAACCTTACTTTAGAGCACAAAAACTTTCTTTTAAATCATATTTTTAAATCGCATTGCATTCAAGCCTGAGCTTGCTTACGTCATCGATGATGCGCTGTTCAGTTAGCACTTTCGCTCAGCACAGTGGAGATTTCTTTAGTTATATCATTTTAGTTGTTTGGGATGCGGTGACACGCAGTCAAATATTTGGCCATATAGATAAGCCATTTTTGACGGTCATAAACAAACATAAAGTCCTTGTGCTTTAGGTATTAGGAGGTTTGCTAAAGGTGCAGTGAGAGGTTTGCGTCTTTAATAAACTACGACAGTTTGTGTTCATTGAACAGTAAGAATGATTAATAAATCCATATCAAACAGTCCCTTAAAAGTCACTTCTTGTCTTAAATTTCAGGCTCAGGCATGCTTTGCATTCACACTACAAGCGTACCGTGGGACCAAGTGAACCTTGCTCTGGCACACCTTTGCCAATCGGGCCAGGGTAATTTCATGCATACAGATCTTATGCATCTAATGTGAAGGTATCGATCAAATGTGGTATACCTCGAAAGCCTGTGCATTCTAATGTATTGAACTTTTAAATGTAAACCTTTTTTTAAACAGCATATTTTTATTTGAATACTTTTAGCATTGTTCTGTGGAATACAAAAGGTAATCAAGACATTTAAAGAATTGTTATGGTTCAAGTTAGGGCTGTGCGATCAAGAGAGACTGCAATATGAAGAGGCTGCAATATGATATACAGTTAAAGTCAGAATTATTAGCCCCCTGTTTATTTTTTTCCCAATTTATGTTTAAAGGAGAGAAGATTTTTTTTAAACACATTTTAAACATAATCGTTTTAATAACTCATTTCTAATAACTGATTTATTTTAGCTTTGCCATGATGACAGTAAATAATATTTGCCTACATATTTTTCGAGACACTTTTATACAGCTTAAAGGGACATTAAAAGGCTTAACCAGGTTAACTAGGCAGGTTAGGGTAATTAGGCAAGCTATTGTATAACTATGGTCTGTAGACTATCAAAAAAATATAGATTAAAAGGGCTAATAATTTTGACCTTAAAATAGTTTTAAAAAACATAAAAAATGGTTTTATTCCAGCCAAAATAAAGTGAAAATTTCCTTGCTCTGTTAAAGATTTGGGAAATATAAAAAAAATCAAAAGGGGTTTAATAATTGTGGTTTCAACTATATATATATATATATATATATTCCCCACCCAGAGCAAATGCGTGACTGTAGGCTGTGTAGGAGAGTCTTACTATCAAACTGATGGAGCACATTTTTGTTCTGCCCAACCAGAATTGCTCAACCAAACTATGGCCACAATAAAAAAAATAAAAAAAGCGAAAACAAAAAAACAAACAAACAAACAAACAGGAAAGCACTGACAAGTGAAATCATGGCTACTGCTGCTTCAGAGGCATTAATAGACAAATTAATATCAAAGAAAAACAGCATTTGGTTTCAAAGGCACAGACACTGAACAAAAACAGGTCATTTTTAATAGCTGTTGCAGAATTGTTGACATGGCTTACAGATTATTGAGCTGAAGCTTGACAACAAAATTAAATTATAAATCAAATCTTAATCGCAATATCAATGTAAAAAAAATTTGCAATTAGATATTTTCCCCAAATCGCACAACCCCAGTTCAAATGCTATTTTTCAAGCCTTCTGAAGTCATGTGAAATGCTTGATTGGACCATTTTGAGTGAACTCTTGTTAACTATTATAAAGTATTGTCAATATTTAAGAACATATCTTGAGCTGTTCCCCTCACACAGGCAAGAACTGGACTACAGCTCATGCCAAGAATGTTAACCAGCATGTCGGTTTTGGTGACTGTAAGTTTGTAGAGACATCTCTGTCAGTCTTATCCGAGTGTGTGTGTGTGTGTGTGTGGGGGGGGGGGGTGTGTGGGGGGGGGGGGGGGGATTATACAGGGGTCTCACACCATGCATGACCTTGCCACGCAATATGTGTTTTGTTTGAGGCGAGCAATCAAAGGTATTCTCATTGCATTCCTCCCCTTTATGTGGCAGTGCTGAAGACATATTAATATCTTTCTTTCTCCCTCCGTTCTCCTGCCGTTCCAT